AAGTCTTGTTTCAATGAGTATCTTGTGTTTTCTCAGGCACAAACAGCAGCAGCCATCTTCCAAGCAGCAATGCCTTTCCTCTCCCTTTCCTTAGCGTTTTTCCTACGGCCTGCTGAGAAGAGGCACAACTCCTCAGTCCCAGGCGACGCCAGGGCAGCAGGGATCCAGTCCTGGTATCCCAAGGCAGATGCTGTATCCAGGCTTCTGCTGTTTGCAGCCAGGTTGCCTTTGTGCCGAGATGGTGGGGAACAACCGACCTGCCCTTTTCCCTGGCAGACCAGGCAGCTGTAGGGGCATAGTGTAGAACACGGTGCCTTATTCCTTATATTTTTATAAGGAATATGTGGGAATTTATAAGGAATTATGGGCTGCCAGGCCCAAACTTTCAACAAAAAGTCTTCCTATCATAGTAACACACATTTTTTTTCTTTTAGATCTTTACCAGGAGCCTGCAGCCTTGCCATACTGGCCCTTCTCATCCAGTGATTTCTGGTCCTACGTGGAATATTTCCGGACCCTGGGAGCCTACAACAGGATCGAAGAAATGGCCAGAGCCTTGTTTGCTCAGTTCCCTTTCGGGAGCCACCTTGGCTACCATGTGCCCAACCACGAGCACTAACTGTGTTGTTCTTTTTCGCTAAAGATGCTGCGAAGACGTTAAAACAAATTCATGGCTGCCAGTGAACGCACCTAAACTGCCCCTCAGCCACTTAATACTTATAGCAGTCACCACCTAGAATTTCATACTTTAATTTAGTCTTTCCTTTTTTTGTGGTTTTGCACCAAATCAATAAACTCCTTGCTTCTGTTATGTGGTTTGGGGGGATTTTTTACGCGCAACGCTCGCAGCTTAAAGTGGGAACACTGGTCTGTGTGTGTACAGCGGTTAAACACCAGTCCACTCAGTGTGGTGGCTGGAAGTATCGCAAGTATAATTCACAGACACAGCTTTTGTGGGATAATGATGCTCTCTTCGCAGCCTCGGAGGTAGCTCAACGCCGCTTTCCCCACTTCAGGCCTGGGCCCTGCCTCGCCCGTTGCCATGGGGAGGAGGGCGGGGTGAACAAAATGGCGGTTCCGCCCTCCTCC